TAGGTCGTCGTGAATGTCAGATAACATGTATCACTCACGAAAGGTTCGTTTATTTTAAGCCGGATAGCCTTCGCATTGAAATATACCAACACAAGTCTTCCTAATAACCATGTGAAGCAGTAGAGACCATAAACTACTGGACCATGTTTTAATTCATAGTTCGAACATTCTGTTCCATTCTACTTCGCTGAAAAGACTTTCCACACTGTTCTTTGGATCTTTATTTAATTCCAGTGAACTCCCGGTAAACTGATCCGCAAGCTTGATTGTAGTTAGCAGTCTGCATTCAACTATGTCAGTATAATCCGGTCGGAACCTCTTCGAATCCCTCAAATATGATGATCTATTTATAATAAAGTGGAAAAATTCGTCCGCAGTGTATCTCACACAAAGGGTGAGGAGTTAAAGCAGTTCCTATTTACTTCATGGAATAAAAACAGAATACTCGAATTAAGTTGCAATTTCTGCGGGAATGTTCAACTGACCATCCTAGAACCTCATGTAGTGTATGTGAGCTACAATGAGATTTTCAAGGAATGTTTTCTGTTTTATGCATTGGTTAATAACATATTCGTTCCAGTTTATGCAGGAACATATAAGCTGTATAGACATGGAATTGGTGTGTCCATTTGATGAAGCCCACGTCACCTAGTGTACATCTTTGTGCTTGTGCACGCCTCCCCCAACTATCAAATGAATAAATGTGCAGAAGTATGTAGAGTTCTCCATTGTTGTTCATTTCATCGGGCATCTCTCCAACAATGATGGGTTCTGTTCATGTATTGCATGCCCCCAGTGCGGCTTGTATTCACATCATCCCCTAGAAATTAGACTTCTCGTCCTTTGCAATTTTCGGTCGTTTGTACAGTACTCCCCTCCCTAGGTAATCGCTATTTGTAGTAGCTTAGATCTGGATAATCATAATTTTCCTTCCTTTTAAGTTGAGTCGCTTTGATATTGTCTTGGAGGAGATTGGTTCCTGCTGTTTAAGAGCCCTCAATGATGTTGGTAACATTCATGATAGCCACTTTCTCAGTGAGTTCGTGGCTGTTGTGCTAGTGGCCCAAGCAGACTGTTGGGTCATCAGTTAAAACTTTTGAGGGCCCACACCATCTACTATCACAGATTCTTATCTCTTACATGCTACATCTTATTTATTTTAGTGATTTCGGCAGCTTTTCAGGCTTCGAACATAGTGTTATCATTCCTTATTCATGTTTTCAATTTTACCGAGAGTTTTCATCGTCTTTCTTGCCTCTCGATTGCTTTCGCTAACCAGCATCAGTCCGCTCCTCCCAATCCAGGGAAGGCTAAGTAAACTATCCGGTTACTAGACTAGTTTGGGTTTCCACTGTGGTGCGGGGGCCTAATTTGTGAACAGACTTTTGGGTGTCTTACTTTCGTAGCTGTCCGATGTGGCAATATTTTCTCCTGAAAAGTGAGTATCTAATGTGTGACCTCCTGAAGCGTCGTGTGGTACTGTTTGTTTATATTGCACGGACCCTACGGAAAAGGTGACACCTACATACTTCAATTTAGAATAAAGGAACTGCTAGATTTACTCAGAGCAAATGTGTTTATCAAAACATTGTTTTGGTGTATGTGGCTTATGCCAACGGTCGACCTCCTTTCTACCGCTAGGAAATTATTTTAGTTTCATTTGTATCAATTACTCTTCCATAACCCGTTGTCGAATATGATATGCCTCATATAAGTGAGTTTTGAGCTTTATCTCCGCCATATTGTAAACTTCGAATTTCAGGTTAAATGAGATTCACGGCTATACCGTGGCCATACCATGAGCTGGCATTTTTTGAAGAGCAGTATTAATCATATGGCGACGTGTTTGCTACTTCTTTAGTATACAAATACGAACATCAAGTGATAAGTTGAATTTTAACACAGAATTCATAAGTCTGTTGCTGCACTATTTATAGGGGATGGTTTTTAACTCACTAAGCCTTATTTTGGATTTTATGAACAATAATGAGCTTTCCCTGTGCCATTTGTCAGTGTATTTCGGTTGGGTCGTTTATCGAATTTGTAATGAGTGGTAATTCGGTTGGTTAAATGCTGCCACCATTTGTGTGATTAAACGATATCAAATTTGATCCTTTCTCCATTTCGTTAAGAGAGTTGATTGTAGAACAGGAGGTCAAACTGTTGGGATAATTATATCGTCCGAAATAGCTTTACGACAAAGCACAAGGTTTGGCTCGTTGACATCATTATCAGTATAGTTGCATTGAATAATGTGATTTACCACTAAAGAAGGTGAAGACAGCATACTTTTCGGCATTGGCATGTCTGGTGCAAGTGAATTATAGGAGTGTTGGCAGTTGGCGAAGAAGAAGTAGTCCTGTTTGATTTGTATTTTTATCATGATTTGCAGTAGATAATAGAGTCAACGTTTAGGTTGGGTTGGTTGTAGTTAAAGCACTAAAAAAATTCGCTTAATGTGCGTTAGGCCATTTCGAGAGTATATGCGTGATCAAATAACTCCCGCAACATCCAACCGACAGTTTATATATGGAAGCCTAGAGTGAGAATGTACAGAAACTCCGTTCAAATGTTGTCAGTAGTGAGTTGCGATGCCTGAAACAATGAAATATATATTAATATATATAAATAAAATTTTATTTTTTATTTTATCTATTTTTTATACTAAAATAGTTCGACTCCACACAGTATTTTGGTAAAAGTGTGGAATTTTCAGCATGTGATATCGGTAGCCCAAATTTGTAGGGCTGACCGTTGATATCAGGTGTGCGTCTGCCGGGGATCGAATTCCTGACCATGTGCACAGTCAGCGAACTACCTAACCAATATTCCACCGACGTTATCCGAACTGGAGAAATTACATTTTATAAAGCAAATGACGGCGTACTTCGAAATGTTAGTGAACACTGTGGAACATAGATGCCGTTTATGTCATTTCTTTAAATAACGATCAGCAAGATTGAGGGTAATTTTAGGAAATGTTTCGCATAGGCTGGAAACAACAGTTCCAACAACTGTCTAGTCAGTAGTCTGTACACGCTAGGTCAGCCACACGAACTTTACACAACACTGAAGAATTAATCATCTATGCACCTGAAGACATGCAATTCACTGGAGGAAGGGCTGGGCATCAACATTCATTTTTTACGTGTCTTGGTCATGAGAACAAACACCGCAACTAGTGAGGGAAAGTGTTACCCCACACCTGTTCTAGTATGTGCTTTGGTGAAGGATTTCAAAGTGTACATCAGTTAAATGCGACACAACGGCTACGTACTTACAGCTTGAAAGCTTAGCTACCCTCCTTGCGTCTTCTGTCTAAACTGTCAGCGAACTGGCACAAATTGGTTGTTAATGTTTAGTTAGCTGAGGATAAGTGGCTTCCACGTTTCTGTCAACCTTCAGCAACAGCGTAGCCAACCTTACCAATTTTGTATAACACCGTTTGGAAAATATATCGAGCTGCACTTTCAGTAAGTGGAAACTGGGAACTAGTAATCATGACTGTCCACACAAGGATATCAGAAACCATCCCATAGCTTAAGCAGATAGTTGCTCGGTAGCATTAGAATGTGTGCGTCGGTGGCACAGTGGTTAGGACTCTCGCCGACTATGCACATGGTCCGGGTTTCGATCCCCTGCCGACGCACACCCGATATCTATGGTCGGCCTGAATTTGGGCTACCGATATCCATGCTGAAAATTCCATACTTGTACTGAAAATACGGTGTGGAATCAGGCTGTAAATAAAAAAATGGAAATGAAGCTAAACAACACAGACTGAAATGCAACTACAGGAGATTCAATCACTAGGTAAAATGATGATAGTTCCATCTTCTATAAATCCACAATGGTTACTTACAAAATACTGAAACTGCTATATGGAAAGCATGGAGTTGCTAGATCATTCAAACATTTGTTCTGAAATAGTGTGAAGAAGCCATCCGCAGCCTGTCATATAACTTTTTTTAACGCAACACAACTATGTGAAACCCTCCAAGGAGCGTAAGGTACCTTACGTTTCCGTTTTCACGTCTGGTCTCAAAAACATTGAAAAGCCTAGTTAATGATTTCACTAGAAATCATCTTGATGGAAACAGCGCATTCTGTGAAGATAGCTCCTGTGCAACAAATCTACTGCTGGCACGAAATGATTATTGACTATCGCTGTTTAAGCTCATGAGATCGTTCCTAACCTTGCAAAGGTGTATGAGATTCTACTTCGTCAAATAGACCGAGTGGGTATTGGCGGTCAGCCCCCTCCATTGTCGGTCGATTACGCAAACGGAATAGACATCTTCGCAGAAGTCAGTTATGTCCGATCTTCCTAGCACGCCTTGGATTCTGAGGTCTCGCCAAGGTTCTTCTGGGACCCTAAATGTTTTTGGCGTTAGTTGATGCCGCGTGAACCGTCCAGCTCTGTGTGTATAGCTCGATGATTGTAATATATCACAAAGGCTTAAAGGTGACCTATAAGTGTTCGAAAACTTGAAACAGCTGAAATTTACAAAGTGATCCTACTGCGCAACCTAACACTACAAAGGGCAACTTACTTGGCATGTGTCTATAGCTTTCCCCATGTAGCGCCAGTGACCAACTTACGTCTAATTCTGACAGGAAAGCCAGATGCCAGTGTGAGTTATTTGGACGACATGACCCGGGACATATGGTCTCTTACAATGCAGAAATTTTCATAAGTTTCCACATAGCCTTTATGCTATCTCACTGTCACTCAACTGTTCTTTAGTAGAAAGTGTGAAGAGTAGGGCGAAAAGGGGGTTACGGTCCTTCGGAGCATACCAGAGGGTGAAAGGACAAGGAAACTAGGCCTTTTCATAGTTAGCTGCTAATAAATTGGGAAGTAGATAATGCAATGCTTGTAAGATTACTAGAAACGATCGGAGTTATCCGAAAAATTGTTCTGCTATTAAACTACAGTCTTCTCATAAGGGCAAGCCTACGAGAGATCTCACGTCAGACGGCAAAATCTCGATTGAACACTTTCTTCAGTACAAGTATTTTGGTCGAAGTGCATTTTTTAAATGTACAATTTCTTTTCCTTTTAAAAGAGACTTGGGAGTTTATACTTTTGAAGGGCACCTTACGACCTTTTTTTAGGAGGCTTTCCAAATTCTTCGAGATAATGAAACGTGTTGTCGTCCTAGGTTGTGGGGCATGGGGCACTGCAATCGCAACAGTTATTGCCAGCAATGTTATTTCTTCGAGTCTGTTCAGTGAAGAGGTATGAACTGAAGTCATTCCAATGTATTGTTCATTTTTAGGTTATTATGTATGCTCGTGATGAGACTTATGCTGACCGTCCTTTGGTTGATTGGATTAATGAAGACCATATAAATCCCATTTATCTACCAAATTATAGTATTCCAGAGAATGTTGTTGCTAAAAACAATGTCAGGGAGGTCGTAGCTACAGCTGATATCATAGCAGTCGCGTACCCTTGCCGATATGTCACTTGGCTAGTGGGGGAAATAAAAGCATGCATCAAAGAAAACGCTTATTTCGTATCATTCTGCAAGGTGAACTAAGTAAATTTTGACTTCTAATTCGTTTGAAATCTTTACACTACCTACCTTCAATAAAGTTCTGAAGCAAATTTTCAATTAAGGTGACAGATAAAGATGTTTCTCAGTGAAATTAAGCAAATTTCGTCACGTTTTTACTTACCGCTTTGGCGTTCTGGTTTTATATTCAGACTCAAATCGTCCTTTTTATGTGTTCATTTCGACTCGTTTAATACGCTTCGTTTCACTGAATGTCAAAGACATCATTCCTACATCTATTTTCTAGTCGTATTTACCATTTATACCTTTGTTTTATAGAGTACTATAGTTGCCAGATATCTTATAGAAGAAAAAAAAGAAAACAAAAGTTGGGCAAAGAATATCCTTTTCGATAATTTCCTCTTCTGGCTCTAGAATTATATATATATATATATATATAATCTAGAATAATCGTCATTAACAATATTGGTGTTTTTAGATACTGTCCATCTGTTAAGATAAAAGAAATTACAGTTCATGAGAGACGCTTAAGTTATAATAAGCATAAAAATGTGATAGCAAATAGAATACCAAATAAATTTAAGGAAATTTCCACAACAAATTGAGGGTCATTAAAACCTTGACGGCCAAGTTAAGGATAGTATCTGAACCAGCTTCTTTCAGATACATAAGTTAGGTTTCAGCAATATGTAGTAGATGAACTCTTAAGGTAAAGTTAAGATTAGTTGGTATACTATAGATGACTTTGAAAGCCTCATTAACATCAACCTTGTGTTCTGTATTCACGAGATGAGATAGAATGGAGCTGTGAATAGATGGTATTCGAAAGTGTGGCGGCAAACATGCGTAATTGTATGACCTTTGTAACTGGCTCCATGGGAGCAGTCAAAGTGGTAGATACACATAAAAGCGGCTTAATTAGGCAGTTTTTCTTTGACTTCGGAATGCAAAATATGGGTAGTTACGAAGACGCAGCATCGAGTGCTTTTTTACCACATTCCTTAGGTGTTGTGTCAATATCTCACAGATGTTATCCCTGAGGAACTGAAGTCGTGAGAATAAGGCCTTTTCCGGAACTGTTAGGACCTTCTTGATTTTTTATTCATATTCTTATCGATGAATTACTTACTCAGTAACTGTTCAATAATACTGAGCTCTTCATTAAGACATTCATCAGAGCAGACTGCTCTTGCTCTGTGGACCAAGCACTTTGTTAGATTGCGTTTATATTTCCAATTCACAAAGCTAAAAAGTGAGTAAACTGACCAGTTGATGTAGACTTTCTATATACACTTCTTATCATACCGTCCACTTTTCTAGTCATAACGAAGGCTAGGAGTGAAATACCGGAGTTCCTTTATTTCTTGATGGTAAAATTTATTGCAGGATGAACATCATTATATCTGTCCAGGATGCTGTTTGCTTCATCCTCATTTTTCATAATCAAAAATGTACCATGCATGTACCGATAATAGAGTTCTAGTTCATCAATTACATCTTTCAAAGGCCCATTTTATAGTTTCGCAAGGAAAATGTCAGGTAGAACGTGTCCTAGTGTTGAACCCGTTGCCACACCATCAATTTGTCTGTATAGTTCATTATTAAATAAAAAGTGAACAGTCGCTGTGCGTCAGTGGCACAGTGGTTAGGACTCTCGCCGACCATGCACATGGTCCGAGGTTCGATCGCCTGCCGACGCACACCCGATATCTATGGTCGGCCTGCAAAATTTGGACTGCCGATATCCATGCTGAAAATCCCATGCTTGTACTGAAAATACGGTATGGCATCAAGCTGTAACCAAAAAAAAATTTCAAGAGAAGCTCTTTTGTAAAAGATATAGGAATGCCGACATGGTCTTGTGAGTTCTTCGCATACGTACATACCGTTTCCATAAGTGGTACATTGATGAATAAGAAGGATACTGAGTCTGGCATTCATGGAGCCCAAATAGCCCTAGGTGATTTTTAGCAGTTTGTGGTATTCCAGAGGCAAAAACCACCACATAACTATTTGTTGAATTACGTGATTTTTAGCTGTTGCACTTCGATTTTTCATATACGGACACTCAATTAGGAAATAACTTCACGCAAACAAATGGAGTGATTATTTCGTGTAAAGCAACAACAACAATCAAATCGTCGTGGTGACTAAATTTGGAGATATTTCTGAGTCGTCCATATTTTGATTGAAAAATGTTCTAAAGAAGTGATGGCGCAAGAGCTTCTAAGCCTGGTGGCCTCATGTGATATAAAGCTACTATTTTCGAGGTCGTTAGGTTTGTTGTTCTAGTTGGACTTCAAATAATTTATTTTTCAATGTAAGTGTATTTGTCTTCATGCTTTTTAACATCAGGGGGTAATTTTGGAAGTACTTCATGTCCGTTCAGTGTAATAATTCACTGTCGCCGTGGCATTGTTTAATGGGGATATTTTCATTAGTTTCATTTATTACTATTTGTAGGGTCTTATCTTGTACCCAGAAGAAAATCGCGTTAAGTTAGTGAGTGATCTTATTCGTGAACAAACTGGCAAACGATGCGTGGTTGTCAGTGGAGCAACAACAGCTATTGAGGTAGCCCAAAAACAATTTACAGAAGTAACTATTGGCAGTAAAGCTTTAGACAGTGGAGAAGAAGTGAAAAAACTACTTCAGGTAACGCTTCATGTTAGCTAACTTTGTATAAACGCTTTTCCGCTACAGTGCTTAGTCCTGAAAATTTTCATATTCTTAACTCATTCCAGCAGTATAACCGACGGGTGATATGACTCATTCAGGTACTTCAGTTATAATATTCTATTAAACTATCATGAAATGTGATAGCTGTAGGTAGAACGTCATGATACTGTTAGTTTTTAGTGTGCATGTATAGAGCTTAAATGACCAACTGCTTTTCCTTGGAATAATATTTTGAATGGATTTTAAATAGTCTGTTGTAGCTTCGGTTTAGCAGATTAGTGATGATTGATGTTCATGACAAAGGATCCCTGAATTGCACGGCAGAATCCAAACTAGTAGGTTGAGTCACAATTCTTTTCCACTATTTCCATCTCTTTGCTCACTGAAACTATAAATAGACTAAAGTAAAGTGAACGGATACTACTTGACTTAAATTTCTTCTAACCAACTAATTCAGAACTGGAGAAATAGTTGTTATGTATCCATTCACAGCACTTCAACTTGCAGCAGTACATGAATGATCCCTTGTATGCTATTCGAACACTGAGAAGACGACTTTTTACTCGAGGAAAAAGGCAAGTAACGAGAAAATACAGCTGTTTATGCAGTTATTATGCTTTGACAGTAAACTGCAAGTTCAAAACATGAGAGGTGTGATTTTACTGGTAAGGAATATTCCGGTAAAAGTTCAGTGACACGACCTTTGGTCTAGTTTGAGGCCGAAAGATTGGCCCACTGTTCGCATAGAAAATACTGATTCGTAATACGTTTCCACTGTCTATGCAGTACATACGATTTATGAGATTATCTTTTAGGGTAAATATCTCTGTATTAACCAGAAGTCCTTGCAAAGACTTCTCTGTACATATTTCTTGTAGCTACCTTTGGAAGCTTTTTCCTGAGAAAACTGACACTTATTAAGCGGTCACTGTGGACTTGAAAATGTTGGGCATCCTTAATCATTCTATTTTCTATTAAGCACTAAGTGCACGTCACCTACACCATGACCGTCTTTCAGAGCAAAGTGCTAAAGTCATTTATTTTTACTCACCCAATGCAATCCAAGTATTTCAGCAGGACATGTTCATTGCACTCGGTTCTCTGCCGAAATTTTCATCACATGATCCTATTCGTATTACCCTCAGATGCCCGACCCGAAACTTCTCAGTCAGGTTCCACTAAAAAATATGGCATGTGATGTCACTTGGGTGTCTTGATCTCCTTCTGGATATTTGTTGAGCAATAGGTTCTTGACTACCTCACTGCATTACTAGAGTCCCTTGTTACTTATCCTCTCAGACTGAGTGAATCGAGCTAAGGCGTCTGTTGACAAGAGTTTTCAGCCTGTTGGAAATCCTTCAGAGCTAATTCTAGAAAAATGTTTGTTACCTGTTCCTCACTGTAAAATAAGATTGTAAATCTCATCATTGTGTCACGTGAACCTTTGCACAACTGTCAAATGCATTATACATGCAATGTAATTAGTATGATTTGGCCTCCAACTCTTAATAAAAAAAATTACACCCATCTTGGTGTGAACACATTGTTATCATTATTTTATTATTTCTTTGGGTTCCGAGTAGGACACAGGGCTTTAACAGTCCATTGCAGTTTTACTCTGATCTGTACAGTCTATTTTAGCTGGCCGCATGATTCCCCCTCTATATTCCTCCTCTCAGGATCTCCACTATGTCACTCTCTGACGCCCTTCCCATCACTCCTCATTCAGTCCCCATTTTAGGATGAGCCTGGGGTGTGTCCAGTCCATCTCCACTTCCTCACTCATGTTTATTGTACAACAGGTTTCTAGTCTGCTAACTCTACTGCCAGAATATCTTTCTGAAGACCACCTAATCTCCACTGTCGAGCTGGTGAAGGCATTGGTTGATGAATGTCTTCATCTGATTGTTGGAAATGCTCTCAGTGATACTCCAAGTTTCTGACTCATATCTGACTTGATGCTAGTGGTGAAAATTTAGATCTTGTTCCCCGGTGGTGTGTGTGGAGGACCTCCGCACATATCTGAGGGTGCTAAAGGTTTGTCTTTTCTTTCTTATCCCAACTGCCTTAACGTGCTCAGACGTTCCGCCTGTATTTAAAATGATGCTGCAGAGGTAATTGAAAGAATTGACTTCCCTTAGATTTCTCCCTGTGATGGTGATTGGTGCTTTCTGTTGTTGGTTGCTCATAATATGTGAAAAGTTTGTACAGTATGGATTAGACCAGTTAATTATAATTGTATGTCAGCGGTTCTCTACACACTTGATTTCTTGATTTTTATAATGTTTCAAGCAAAATTAGTACCAGTAATCACATCAACTGTTGGGACTGTTTTTTAATTATCCTGTTTGGAAGCACAAAACAATTCAAACAGTCAGTATGATTACACGCAGTAATTTTTCTCGGAATATTATTAATAATTTAAAAAACTCAATTGTGTGTAAATGACTGCTGAAATACAATTATAATTAACTGGTTAAATATCCTCAGCACCTCTTTCTTCTCTGTGTCCAATTGAAGTCCCTCCTTCGTTGTCCCTTCTGCCAAATTTTTGGTTTTCATTTGTAGGTCCTTGGGTATGTGCAACATTACGCATTAATCATCTGTAAAGACCAGATCTTCTCGAGTCGATTTGTCAGGCCGATGTATGCTCATCACCTCCCTTCCAAAATTCTTTTACATTCTTTAGCCCACCACAATCAGGAACATCACTGGTGATAACAGGCAGTTTTGTCTTACTCCTGACTTTAATTTAAAGTCACTTGGCATTTAGCATAGTCCTGTAGCTACTGAATGAGGTTAACAGTGGTCCGGGCAACTCCATAGTGTTGAAGCAGTTTCCATGTGACTTCGCAATTGATGCTGTTAAAGGTCTTTTCAAGGTGGATGAAGTTGAAGTAAGTAGTTGAATATCATTTCAGGTTCTGTTCGATTATGCCGCATAGTGTTGCAATTCGGTCTGCTTATGACTTTTGCTTTCGGTGGATAAGAGCGTGGTTCTGCACCACTTGTTGCATAGGTTTAATTCTCCCTTCTTTGGAAGTTTGACAGTGTAGTCTTTCTCCTAGTCAGTGGTACTTTTCTTTACTCCCTGACCTTATGCATTAGGGGCGTGAGCAAGTCTTTTAAGGGGTTCTGTGTCCATCCTCAATGCTTCTGTGGGGTATTTCTATATGCTGATGATGTTTTTCCAGGTGACTTTTTAGCTTTTCCATTTAGTGGCTTCACACCCCATTACACCTCCCATAACTTGGGAAATCAGACAGTATTATAAACTTTCGTGCACACAGTTTCGGCATATAGCCCACTACATAAGAATTTTGTACCAGGTAACTGTGTTGCATTATTATTACTTACTATTTTAGTGGCATATCTGATGTTTCTTAGTTTCATATTTTGTTAATTTGGCTAATATTGTGGTGTAAGAAAGAAAGGAGATACTTTCCTTCTTTGATTTCATTTCCTTTAGTAGCCTTTGAGAATAATGCACTGTGCAGTAGTTACTTCATCATTAATGAATCAAGAAAGAATTGAAATTTTTAGATCATACACTAGTCGAAATGATCTCACCGAGTGTGTTATTACTTTAGTGATTCACTGAGTACAAAATTAAACAGCCACAGTTGTGTCGCTGAAACTTCCACTATGACTTTCAGTAATCCGTTTATACTGATATATATATATATATATATTCATTTATGTATGAATAAGGAAACACAGATCTGTTCAGCCGAGGAGTATTTCTTTTCAACGGCTTTACTTGTAAGCTGTGCAGTAGTATTTATATTACGTAAAAAGCATTAAGTGGCACTAAAAATTACTCGATCGATATACATTTGACAAAACATAAATAATTCATAGGGATTGAGGTTGAAGGAATGTTGTACAAAATTACAAAACATCATCAAGGAAGTGAATTACTGTCAAGACGTTTAAAGTGAAAAAAGTGATGTCAAAAATTAAGATTGCAATCGTGATTGAAACAATGAAATCGAAGTAGAAAAAGAAAAATTACTACTACTGAGGTAAAATAGAGGGATTCAACAAAACTCTTTAGACAACATATTTTCAGTTTTTCGTTCATATACAACCACTGTTTCCGATGTACGTAGGTGATTAAAACGTAAACTTATAGAGTGGCTGAATTTAACTCTATAGATAACTTTAGATGACGATTCATGTGGGGCTAAATTAATAAAGGTGTTCACAGATAGAAGACTTTTTCATCTTATTTTAACCTTTCATCAACCAAACCTGTTCGTGTTCAGTCATACGTTTCTGGAGAACACGTAACACACAAAATATACTCCATAGGGGCATGTGAAGAAGTAGATGCACACAGAAGTGGACATGGGCAGTATTTTATCCCTCATGTACTGTCGAACTATACTCGGTCTTGAGATACCAGGTATAAGTCACCGGTATAAAAAGTGTGTTTGTACACTTGGATAAACAACTTTTAATTAATTCAGCAGTGTTGTCGCCACGTTTGAATACCGAGTTGATAATTAGTATCTTCTTCAGCAACATGATTTAGCTACAAGTTAATTGTCTGTCTAGACAAATTCCTCACTTCTAGTGTGCAATGGTCAATAACACTTCACCCTAATCAATTTTTAATGCAACTCAGATATTGGTTACAAAATTTGATAAATTTGTATTTTCTTTATATATGAAAAAAAAGTACGTACTAATGACCTATCATATTTAAATAGGTCAATTAGTCCATGGTAAGCGAAGTTTGAAGTCTATTGTTTTTTGTACACACAGTTTAGGCTGTATGTGATTAATCCAAAGTGCTTCCATCACATTCAATAACCTTGAATTAGAGTTATGTGAAATAATTGTGAAACGGTCATTAATACTGATTTTGTGACCTGACATTAATAAGTGTTTTGCAATGGATGATGCTGGATTTCTATTCAGATTAATCGCATTGGGATTTTCTATATGATTTAGTAACCATTTTGGAACATGTTCTTTTCGACGACATTGGAACATTCTATTGGTTCTACGTATATAAGTGTCACTGTGACTGCAGATGAACTTGTAGATACAGTTTGAAGTAGAGTCCACAGAATTTCGTTCCTATGCAGTATAAACGTTCCCTAGTGAAATGTTTGTTCTCAAGAGCCCGAAAAATATGCACGAGTGACACATTGATGGATGTGCTTTGACATATACATTCAGTTTTATTAGCTAATGGTTATCCAGAAAACTTTATCACTTGTCACAGTAAAGGGAGACCACATCTCGAAAAGACAGCTTCTGTACCAAAGAAGGCTATCTTTATTAACCTACCATTCAAGGATGACCAGATTATGCAGTTGACAGCTCAAAGACTTCGGTCAGCCATCAAACGCACATTCTACGCCGCATCTCTTTTTCTCATTTCTCGAACATTTTCTATCCCTGTACGAAATTCTGTGGACTCTACTTCAAACTGTATCTACAAGTTCATCTGCAGTCACAGTGACACTTATATACGTAGAACCAATAGAATGTTCCAATGTCGTCGAAAAGAACATGTTCCAAAATGGTTACTAAATCATATAGAAAATCCCAATGCGATTAATCTGAATAGAAATCCAGCATCATCCATTGCAAAACACTTATTAATGTCAGGTCACAAAATCAGTATTAATGACCGTTTCACAATTATTTCACATAACTCTAATTCAAGGTTATTGAATGTGATGGAAGCACTTTGGATTGATCACATACAGCCTAAACTGTGTGTACAAAAAACAATAGACTTCAAACTTCGCTTACCATGGACTAATTGACCTGTTTAAATTTGTTTTTGTCAGTCTATCGTGCTTAATATGTAACAGCTGATGATACTACTCAAAAGTAGTAGTGGTAATATTAGCTGAAGCGGATGTATCTCAAAAGTCCCAGTAACTAATTTGATAAATTTATCTTTTTCTTAGAGAAAAGTGGGGTCTGATTCTATGGTTGTTTCTTCCTTGTCTTCCTATGGATACCGTATAATTTTAAAACCTATCATTGTTGCATTGTATTTCCTTATTTCAAATAGACATCATACTTGAAAATGATCATAACGCAGGATGATGTGGGAGTCGAACTGTGTGGGGGAATCAAACATGTTGTAGCAATTGCGGCAGGAATATGTGATGGACTGAAGCTGGGGGATAATACCAAGGCGGCAGTGCTTCGTATTGGCTTTTGGGAAATGTCTGAATTAATGAAGGAATTATTCCCTGATAGAGGTTTGTTAATTCGTGTTTATGAGTCTGTGAAACTGTTCGGTGTTTGATTTTTGATACTAATGCGGTTACTTAGTGTATGTATTTACAAATGCATTGTTTTTCAGACAAATAGATTAGAAAATCTGTTGGTGGCGAAGTATGAAAAAACATTGGTTGTTATTTTTTCACTTGATAAAATCAATGAAGCTAGAAGATATGGGTGGCAGGCTGATTAATCTAATGAAGGTAATCAACCAACGAATGTGCTGGGGTATTGGCCAGAATATGACAGTGTTACGCTAAGCTATACTCCTAACCTTAACTTAGAGCGGAAGGATCCTTAGTTCTCCTCTTTGTAACTTAATCGTTTTCTCCACCGTTTAAGATTCTCTTAGAAGACCTCAAAAACAATAAAGTACTTGTACGTTCCTGTCAGTGGTACATGCCAAAATGTCTCTTCCAATTGATCGATGACAATGTGGGTATATTTGTCGATGAGAATCGCATAGTTTATTATTATGTGCGACAAATGTTGTTTAACTTCACTGCCAAATCTTTGGTTTCCTTTCATCAAACACAAAAGTTGAAGAATTATGGCAGATGGTTGCTTAGTGGGTACAACTTATTCCCGTATAGGTCTTACTTAAGCAAAATTAAATACGAGAAATAACCGATTCCATCTGTGTTCATGCGCAGCACTTATGTGTAATGCCTGTATTGTCAGTACAAAGACAATTTTTTTCATTATATCCTTCGCAAAAGATGAATTTCACTGCTTGACGATGATTTTTCGATAATTTGGAATGTTTAAAATAAGTGCAAATACTCAATGCTCTTGTGCTTTCTTTTGTTTATTGTCATATGTGTTACACGCGATCTCTGTTTAGGAAAATGCAAATACCCAGTATTTTCTTCCCCACGGCAGATATTCTTTTAGCAAATTAGTATACATAAATAAAGACGACTTAGGTAGTGTTTACACAAATCTTTCTCAAATGTATGCTGGACAACAACTCATTTTTGTCACTAAAATATACTAAGTATTTCCATTCTCAGGAAATAGTGGTATTTCAGATTTTGGATTGAGATTCCGTTCCCTGTGCCAACAAATATACAACGTAATTTAGAAATTGTTATAAGTATCTTGATGTGATTACGATCATTAAGTAGTGCTCGTCATCCATTCTATAAACTTTTATCTACTTCATCTGACCGACTGAATTCCACTCTTATAGGAAATGTCTTTCACGGTCAAGATGATTGGTAGCCCGTTTGACTAAGTCATAATTGAAATCCTTGTAAAAATGGTAGTGAAATTTGTCTTAAATTCTGCAGTGGTACTATACCGGATAAATGAAAGATTGAATTAAAAACTACATAAAGGAAGGCATGAAAGAATAAGAATAATAAGAATACATCGATAGGACTACAAGTAATACATTATACCCGAAATGTCATTTATATAATAGAGAAGATTTATAGCTCAGGTGGATGATTTGCAATTAATAGTGTTCTCTCAGCTGGTTGTTTTGGTTGCGCTAAATATTACGCTGAAGATGTTGTCCAGAAGGATGACGAAAGCTCCGCAACCAAACCAGCCAGCCCAGAGAACACTATTAATTGCATGTCATTCATATGTTCATACTGTATCCCAATGTGTTCGGTCGAATATGGAATTTAACAGCTTCTGTTTGAGTACCTATAGTAGAAAGTTCGTCTAAATACTTACTACTCCAGTGTACACAAAAAATACATTCAGTCATTGTTTTGAAACACATGCATTACTATCTTCAAAAACAAGTCAAACAGACTGCAAATTAAGTTAAACATAGTGTAGATGTAAGAAATATATTTTCTCACTACTAGTTTTCTCGTAGGGTAAAGTGTATACCTCTTACCGCTTTAAAATTAACTTATTTAAGTTAACCTGTTTACCCCAGATGGAACTTTTGGATTAATTTAAGTTGAATAGTTACTGTTTATTTTTTCTTCCCTCAATTATACCAATCACTATGTATTCAGTGAGAACAGTTCAAAAGTTAAGTGACTCATAAAACAATCATTTGTTTTTTATCAGATGTTATGTTGGTCACCTTAAATTATTCAAATTAGAAAAACAAGCAAATTATTTTAAAATCGATATTTAGATAAAACAATGAGGATAGTTTCTATTTCAGAATAAGATTAATTCTTTCTTATTTCATAGGGTCTACATCAGCTATACACAACCTAGATGTTGAAATACAGAAGTACTAATCAATTTAATATACTTTCTGATATGTTCATTTTGGAAGAATAAAATAAAACCTAAAGAGCAGACAAATGGTGTTAACACTATACAGAAAGTTATATTAATAATTTTATGATCAATGTAAAGATTTGTAAGGATTTGATTTGTTTTCCAAGTTAGGCCACGGATTGATATTAGTTAGAGAACCACTGAAAACCAGGTAGTACTGGACAGCTGTTTCATCCTAGTTTGGGACTCATCGACAGTACGCACCTACTGGGGTTTGAACCCAGGACCTTCCGGTTACAAGGCGAGCTTCTCCGCATTCAACCACTGGAACCCGATGACATTTGGTGTTGGTCATGATAAAAATCAAGAATTGGGAGAAGTTAGAATTCATGGGCCATTGTTTCGGGTCCCAGTGGCTGACTGGCACACGAGCTTGCCTTCTAACCGAAAGGTCCTGGGTTCAAACCCCAGTAGGTGCGTACTGCCGACAATCCCAAACTAGGATGAAACAGCTGTCAAGTACTCCCTGGCTGGTTTTCAATGGTTCTCTAACTGATATTAATCTGTGGCCTAACTCGAAAAACAAATGAAATCCTTAAAAGTCAACTCTTCTAAGGAACGATACTCTTATATATTTTACGTGGAGGATTATTCTCGAACTCAAATATGAATTCAGACATAAGTAGGGGCCGTTACATGGTCATGGAGGGGGGTGTTATGAAGACAAAACGAGCTCGGTAACTGTCTGTGCCTCATAGATTCAGTCTCGTTTAACAGCACTATAGCGTTGAACTTAACTGACGCAGGACCCCAGAAAACGCACTTCATCATTGCTTTGAATAACTGAAGACTTTGCCATTTGTAGGACAAGGGGTAAATGTATGTTCATAAAGACACTATTGTTATTTTATTTCTGCTTTAGCAATCCATATCTTCTTGACTTTGTCTTACCAAAAACATTCATTACATTTTTTTCCTGCTTTTAATAACCAACTTCACGGTGACATCGATCTCTTTTCGTATTAACTAAAATTCTAATTATACCTTTGATATCATTTATCTATCTCATTTTATCTTCATAACACCCACCCCATGGTTACGTAACTACTTCTACTCGCGTCTCATTTCATCTTTGAATTCTAGAATAATCCTCCACCTACAATAAACGATAATGTCTCTTCATTGATTATAATTAACTGTGGAGCCTGAAGAAGAAGTTATTTAAAACATCTGTTCTCTCAGATAACATCTTATTCTAATCATATTATGGGGATATTTGAATTAGTATAATATGATTATTCTAACTTTCTGTAGAATGTAGACACTGATGGTTTACTTTTTATGCTTTATTTCACTCTTATTTCACTTTCAAAAATTAAATGAAATTGATTAGTAATTCCATTGTGGATAGAATTTATTTTGACAAAGTCTCACAGTGTTAAGCAGTAATATTTACTAATGACGTTTTGAGCACAATTTATTGCTCATAATCATATCAAGGTACTCACAGCGAAGGTCATCGGTGAATATTACTGTATAACACTGTGAGACTTTGTCAAAATAAATTTTACCCACAATGGAATTATGCTGTACCACAGTGAACAAGTTCTGTTCTCATATAAATTGATGAGTACTTCTATATTTTAGCATTCAGTTTCTGGGTAGGTGATGTAGACTTTATGAAATAAGACCGAATTCATCATATAATGTAAAAGCTGTTCGTGATGATTTACCCATATATCTTCATTTATGCTTCCTAAGCCTTGTTTTTTTGTAACCTTTGACATAGTTAAAATCTGTCAGAATTGTTGGTCTTTTGCCTTTTAATGCAGCTTTCCCATACATGTTAGTCCGTAGTTAATTCACACTTTTTGCAGTTTCTCCCTACCCCGCCTAACCAACTGACTACTTGACCTTATGTTTTCATCATTAATACTCTATTCAGTGTGAAATGTCAAGTCATATGTGATTTCCTGTCTTTGTTTAGTTTCTTATTTGTTGAAAAAGAAACTCAGCTGGAAAACTGTAATCGGCAAACCTTGATATTTCAGCTTAGGACTGAATAGATTTTTTTGGCGTATCTCTGTTTGATTAATATCCATTCGGTTGGCTTTAGGCGTTTCCACTTGAATTGACTTGATTTATTTTCCCGGACTTGCTATCAAGAGGTAGGTTTAAGTGAATCGCACTAATTTTTTTCTCTCTCAAAGTATAATTCTATTGTTCCTGATTTCAGAATTTCTGATATTCGGCGTTGTAGTGGTGACGATATAGGTTGTTTCAGAATGATTCAGCTTGTCTTTAATTTTTTGATGATAAGTCATCGTGGCTCAAGGACCTAGCTGTATACTTATTTGTGTTGCTTTGGCATGTGTCTAATTAGTATTATCTACTAACCTTATGTTTTTAAGTGAGTAATACGCAGATTAAGATTGTTGTTAGGGTTTTAACTTTTATTTTTATACTTCATTATGGATAAGATTTTATTTCCATAAATCACACACTGTTACACAGTAATATTAACTGATGACATTTCGAGCACAATTTATTGCTCATAATCATATCAAGTTACTCACACAACTTTTTCCTTCTTTTATATACATGAGTGAAATTCATTAGACATTTGAATAAAAACCAATATGAGTGTTATTGATCAAATACAATTAGATGGGAAATAAGACGAATGTTCTTATAGTTATAATAAGTAATTTGTTAGAATGTTGTGATTTGCTTGAATTGAAATAGAATTTTGAGATTATTTATTATCCTCTTCTGATTTGACTGGTGGTAATAATACGAGTGTTGTTGATCAATTACAATCAGATGGGAAATAAGACGAGTGTTTTTATAGCCATAATAAATAACTTGTTAGGATGTTGTGATGTGCTTAATTGAAATAGATCAACAACACTCATATTATTACCACCAGTCAAATCAGAAGAGGATAATAAATAATCTCAAAATTCTATTTCAATTCAAGAAAATCACAAAATTCTAACAAATTACTTATTATAACTATAAGAACATTCGTCTGTGCGTCGGTGGCACAGTGGTTAGGACTCTCACCGACCATGCACATGGTCCGGGGTTCGATCCCCTGCCGGCGCACACCCGTTATCTATGGTCGGCCTGAATTTGGGCTACCGATATCCATGCTGAAAATTCCACACTTGTTCTGAAAATACGGTGTGGAATCAAGCTGTAAATCAAAATAAAATAAAAAATAAATATTTGATCAATAACACTCATATTGATTTTTATTCAAATATCTAGTGAATTTCACTCATGTATATAAAAGAAGGAAAAAGTTGTGTGAGTAACTTGATATGATTATGAGCAATAAATTGTGCTCGAAACGTCATCAGTTAACATTGCTGTGTAACAGTGTGTGATTTATGGAAATAAAATCTTATCCATAATGGAGTTACACTCTACCACAGTGCCCAAGTTTTATACTTATATCTTATTTTTATAACCATTTCGATGGAATTGTGGAGAGATGTACTGTTTCAGTCCTTACCTAGATTTCCCTTTCATCTACCTTGGATGTTGGGTTTGAAACACTGGACAGTATGCTTCATCAAGTTTTATTATTATTATTTTTTGTTTCGAATAAGCTGTGGTCGTCATTAATCGTAATTACTCAGTTGTTTCCCTGAAATGTTTTCAGGGGTAAGAAAATTGTTCTCCATTCTAAAAGAAGTTTCTTGCTGTAGTAATATTAAGAGTTATTCTAATTGCCTTAACAGTCCAATGCAAAGTTATTTAGTTTATGCTTCTGTAGTAAAAAACAAACAAACAAACTCGATTTGTGCCTCTATACTTCTACAGTGAACCTCTACACTGCCATATTTCTTCCTGCCGATTGAAACGTTCAAGAGTGACAATCCTTTTTTGTTGTTTTGAATTTGATAATTCTGATCATGCTGAAAGCTGAGGTCATTTAAGCTACTTTAACAAACTTGTGTTTACTATAATAATTCTTTGTCGATACCTGTATTGTTGTTGAAAAAAATATCCAATCTACTGTTGGCCTCCTGCAGTCTTGCTGCTGAAGTGTGTCGGTGTGTGTTTGTTTATGTCTCTGAAGTAAATTCAGAAAGTCAAGTGAATTTCAGCACTCATATTTAAGTTCAATAGGTTTTCCTTTCTTACATTTTAACACTAAACCATGAACAATGATTTTGCTATTGGTCGATGAACTACATAAAAGGTATAAATAATTAATTGTTCATTACATAAGCTTTTCTATACATCTGTTAGATATATTTGTCCTTGCTTCTTATGATCATATAAGCTTTCGATCAGTATGTGTAATTTCACTTTTAAAAGTACATTTTCATGTTCACATGGCTGTAAGTGAAGTATTCATAGGTAATTAAGTTAGTGAGCTAAGCATATAATCAGATGGTTCACGAGAAATAAGACGAAAAAAAGTAAAATAAAATTTTTCATTACACTCAAATGTATGAACAGAAGCATTCAAATAAAGGTTTTATGTAATACCCAATGAATGAAAAACAAAGCGACATTGTTTTTACTGACGTTTCGCTATTTAATGCTTTATCAAAGTATTATTAAACCAGAATTTACAAAATATCAGCTCATGTATAACAACTTAATCATCGATCCTCAATATGCGGTCATTTTTTGTTGTCAAATTGGCCAATTGGTTAAGATATCAAAACCAGGTGTAGATTGCTCGATTTGATAAGTGTGTGAAATTATAAAAGCAGCGTGTGTTTACATAATGAATTGCTTATGACATTCGTATTGATTTTGTCAGTTCATGGGGGAGGGACGTGTTGTAACCAGGTCAAATTCTGTCTTAGTCGATCATATGCTTCTGATATTAGACTTACTTTGTGATTTCTGAAATTTTTCTGGATTATTTCAATATTGTCAAAATCACTTTTGTGACTAATTCTATAGTGTGTAGACCTATGACTGATGATTTTTCAAGTCTTTCTAGTTCAACTGGATTTCTTGGTGGTCGGAAAGATGTTCTATGGTGTTCATTTCTTCTGGCTTTGATTCCTCGAGATGTTTGTCCTATGTATATCGCATCACATTCCAAGCATTTTATTTTATAGACACAATCAGATGGAGAATTTTTGGGATTTGGTCTTTTATATGGACAAGGTTGTTTCATAGTGTGTCTGATGTTTTGAAGAAAACTCTGATGTCGAGCTGATTGAATACTCTTCTGATATCGTCTGACGTCTCCGCTCTACATGGAATGACAACTGCTGAGGTTCATGTTTTCGGAATACGTTTTGACCATACTTATATCGTTCTGTGTTTCATTCATTGAGAAATACAAAAAACCTTTATTATAATGAATATGATATACCCAATGCCCAAATTTTTTCAAACTGTTAAAAGTGAACTTGGTTTGGACACACAGAAGCATTTAAAATTAAATAGATTCTTCTACTTATAAACATCTGAAATGTCAGAGATTAGTGTTTATTTTATGGACAGTATTGCATTGATTTACTTCCTCTTCACTATCAAAGAATAGATGTCGAAATTCTACCATGGGCTATGTAAAGAACAGTATACTGCAACCTGAAGACCTAAGCAGTTAAGCTGGTTGTTTGGTTACTGGGAGAAGAACTGTGGACTAGTGGGACCACTGCATGCAATTTGTTCCTCAGTGTGTATAGTTTTGATTACAATCCACGTTATTCTTCTGTCAGTTTCCAAAACATGGCACCAGTGTATTAAGTATTTAACTGTAATAACTTAGCAACGTAGGGAGGTTTAGACTGCTTGGCTAGAGTCCTAGAAGTGCTATGAATCAGCATTTGGGCATAGTTTGCAACGTGACTAAAGAGTGTTAACAACGGTAGAGATGTATTCATTCATATTTGTTTTTTTAGGTTCTGGAAAAATTCAGTAGTCTCCGTTTGATTATTCTCTTCCTCCCTCCTCCTGCATTGCATCTCTGTCCGTTGTGGTTTCATTGAATCTCTTTTCTCTACCTTTTATTTGTGCTGTGCACAAACTTCTGCGTTGTTAAGTTAGTCAGTCAATCTCCTTTTGCTTCAGTACTATTCTTATGCTTAATTACTGGTCCGTATTTTTACCTGGCCAGATTGGTGTTGTTGATGAATTGATTTCAATTATCCAGACATTGAATTTTTCAAATATTCAACCTCACTTATTGTCCCTATGAAAAAAAAATTGAGAGAAGAGTTCATCATATGTTGTAACATATCGTACGACCGCAAAAATAATCAGCCTAGTATCTAGTGTCCTTTGTCTCACAGTAGATGTTTTGTATTGCTATTGGTTATTGCTTAGTGTTTATACTTGTTCTTAACTAGTAGAATTGTATATAATTTAACATTTATAAAAGCAAAACATCTCAGCATTGAATTTCTTTGATATGAAATTTACTGTTTTTTTTTTGTATGACTGAATCAGCACACGTACTAAAATACGAGAAGTCGTCCTTATTTTGTTGTATTCAGTTAGTCTGTGACATCTGACTTGTTGATTGACATAAACATTTATCTAATGATCACTTTGTGAGTGATAATTGAAATAAAAATCGTGTATCTCGTAAATCTTCAAAGAGACCTCTGGGTTTATTTCATCTGGTCATAAATCAATGGTATTATCCCGTGTATAGTTTACGATGTTTAGTCTTCGTTCAATTCAGATTATTTGTCTTTTGTTTCCTGAAATATAAAAACTTCTTGTTGATAGTACTTGTAGCGTAACCTCAGTGTTCCGTTCATTTGGAACATCGAAACCAGCCATCACACTTGGTATGCAATTCTCGATCAGTACTAGTGACTGAGTGAACAGGTTTAGCAACACACTTGTCATGTTTCAGAATTCCATAAGGATAGAATCAGATCTCGTATTCAAGAAACTAAGGACTTTTTATAGTGTGACACATTAGCAAACTCTTTAGGTGAAAAACTCAACAAAATTATCTAGCTAAGGACTAGTAGGTACGAATATAGTGAGTTATTCTGACCCTTAGTGGTATGTTTGTATTTTTATCTTGTTTAAAAATTTCTGCAGATTCCAATATCTGAACAGGTCAGCTTCAAGCAGTGGTTCTGCTGACGATTACATATATATATATATATCATTGTGAATAATAGAGTGTCGACATAAGAAAGTCCGTAGCATAGCGTCAGTTTTCCCTTCCCCGCTCTGACGAAAATATCGTGAAATATACAAAGCTTATATGCATTATATATACAATTTATAATTACTCTTATGAATTCACTTGTTTGTGTACAGCAGTTTTACAAATAACAAGTTGTCTGACTTGTTTAACCATTTTCTTTTTCTGTTTCCACTAGGTACTGATTGGTTGACAATAGAGCAGAGTTGTGGGATGGCTGAATTATTTATGTGTAAGTCTTCCAGTCGTCTTCTTATTTCATAATTCTCTGTATCCTTCTGAGAACACTGCCCTGTCTGACTCAAATAGTGTAACCTGAATTATCATTTTTATCACCATCAGAAAGACTGGTGAACTGGAACTTTTTTTCCAAGAACTAAAAGGTTATGACAATGAATAATTCAGCTTTCTTAATCATTGAGTCAGAGTTTTAATAGATGTTAACGACTTCGTTGATGTATGTATGAATGTATGTATGTGTGCCAATGCTGACTAGTTGTTATTCTAGGTAGTTTTATACAAAATTGCTTTTACACACTCTGGTTGATTACAAAACATGAATCACGTCTGTCGTAGCCTTCAGAATACATACATTTGTTCTGAAGCTAATGATGGTTTTCCCAGGAAACATAAAGAATAGGCAACTTCCAATACACTGCTGTGCGAAATACGATAGGTGATTGCTGTCGAAATGAAAATCTGGGCCTTGGCAGTTTTAAAATCAGTTGTCTCTGCTTGGCAGACCGCCTCTGTATCAGCCGGGCTGTTCTGACCAGATCACTTAACAGACACTTGACACTTTGTTTTTTGATTGCACACTAGTCAGTAACTAGTGTAATGCGTCTAGTCCTATCTTCGGTGCAGACTGAATTCTATCAGTCATGTTTGCAATGTGGCCACCATGCTAGGTGGCTCGCCATTACGGTGTGCAATCAAAAATATCCAATACAGTCCTACAGGAGGTCAGTCGCGAGCCTGAATAGCTCAGTGGTAACATCTCTGACTGCAGCACCGGGTGACGCGGGTTCGAATCTCAGAAGGGACATGAGTTCCTTCAAGGTTGCAGATACGCCTTGCTGATGAGTGCCAACTAGCACGAAACCTAGGTCGAAGGCTTCCTGCCGATTGCCTCCAACCATCCAATGCTTGACACTTTGGCATTTCCTTTGAAACAATAACTCCATACTGTCTTTGAATTTAAATTTTTGTACCAGCACCATTCTACGCTATTATGTTCGGAGTTTTTCTTACGAGTCTACAAAATTTAAACTGATTACTAGCTACCGAATTTCCTTGTAGATTTTCGTCCATAGTTATTTTTCTTATCCTGGAACGGAGTTCATCGATAAGCTTGTCTTTTCAATCAAACTTATTCAAATTTAGTATGCAGTATGGTAATTATTATTATTATTATGGCAAATCTTCTTGAAATCCAGAAAGAATTTAAACTACTCGTTTTGTCAGTTTTTAAGCATTCTCCTCTAAGCGGTATATGAGTAGATTCATCCGGAAAAAGAAAAGATTCATTTGTCTTCTGTTCCTTCACAAAGTTAATCATAATACATCATATGCTTCATGCAGATACACTGAAATGATTTTATGTTTTTGTTCACTGCACACACACAATTATTCTCTAAGGCATTTATTCTATTGATTTCAAGGGTACATGCGCACACGTGTATATCTTATTCATATGTTTGTGTTACTGAAACGGTGCATTAGTAGTTAGTGTGTATTCCTCTAACTGTGATTCTGCTGTGTGTGTTTTGGCTAAAAAACTGTCCAACATTGAATGACCGACTGGCTAATTACTGACTGGTTGTAACAGTCTAATATTTAGCAAAGTGTACATTAGCCAATCGCATTGTTTTCTTCAATCAGATCGGTAGATGTTCACATTTAACAATGCTGAGTTTTTATCCCTCTCAATACATAGACAGTGAAAGGGAATGTTTCTTTTTTGTTGTTGATTACTTCGTGTAACTGGGACGATTATTTGGCGCGGAGATATGGCCTGTGCTACTGATAAAATTTACCAGTAGTATATAAACAGACTTCATCTGCATAAAAATATCAGATAGCTGGGAGATAGATTTGACGTCAAAGAAAGTAAGTGATTCAGCGTGGCTGAGAAACATGGGAGACGTTGAGGAAATACAATACAAAGAACAGAAGTAGCACAACGCGGAAGGTCTATGCAGATCACGATTTTGAAATAAGGTATACGTAATTTCGCTATATGGAGACACCGAATTCCAAGTGAACATCACTTTACCAAGTCTCTTGTCTTCTACTAAACATACTATATAATGATAATTTTTTTAAAGCTTATTCGTGCCAGCGTAAATGAAGATAAGCAGTTGACATTTAATAGCCTTACTTAGACATATTTACTTCAGGTTAGATCACGGATTGATAACCAACCAGGGAGTACTAGACAGCTGTTTCGTCCTAGTTTGGGACTCATCATCAGTGCGCTAGTGGCTGGCTACAGAACGAAATTCTCTAGGGTTCTAGTGAGAAGTGGCCAGTGGGGTCCATCCGGTCTGCAGTGAGGATGGGGTTCCCGCCGATGCCATTGGCTGGTAGTCGCGCTAAAATCATGAATTGGTAGAAGTTAGAATTCATGGGCCACTGAATCGGGACCCAGTAGCTGACTGGCACACGAGCTTGCCTTCTAACCGAAAGGTATTGGGTTGCAACCCTAGTAGGTGCGTACTGGCGACAGTCACAAACTAGGATGAAACAGCTGTCAAGTACTCCCTGGCTGGTTTTCAATGGTTCTCTAACTGATATCGTTCCGTGGTCTAACCTGAAGCAAATAGAATCTATGAAAACTAGTTCTTAAACTTATTTAATCAATGTACAATTGGGGAATTTGTTTTCTAGCATAGTAATGTCTTTATTCTTCTTTGGCTTTCAGCATTACCTAGCTTACATATTAACTAAAATAACTATTTACAGTCACCGACATAACGAGTTTTATAAATTTATCGATAAGTTCAGCTTCTCCTCCTTGTACTGGTTACTTGTTGGACCCAAATTCCAACCGCCAACCTTCATTTATCCATTTTAGAACACTCAGTCAATCTAGTGACTAATCCTTCATTTGGCTGTTGAATTACGGTTTTCGTTCTAATTGAATGAGCCCTTTTTTGATCTGTGGCAAGTATCTATGTATCAGTTACTATAAAAGGTAATGGATGAAATAACACTGAAATGATTTTCATCAAGTCGGATATTATGCTATATCGAGTCACTTCACTGATAAAATAAATATGAGCATTATAAGTGACAATTCAACCTGTGGTATGCTCTAACTAACAATGTTATATATTTGAAGTTTTGAATATTGTAAAGGATATTGTTTGTTGAACACCTTTTTTCTAGTGGTAATCATAAACATAGGCAAGATAGTTTTGTAGAATTCGGTACAAAAATGTATCGCATAAAATCAAAGAAAGTAAAACTAATAATCGCAGAAAAGAAAAGAACACACTCTGAAAAAAGCCGAATATACGGACTTATATGGGGACATTTCAGGAATCCTGTTATTTTTATTGGGGATGCTAGTCGGATGAATCTTTTCCTTAGAAAATGATCTCCTCACAAATGTCAATTGTTTCAGGTCACAGGAATTCATTTTGAATGGATGGCAAGTGAGAACCAGTTTATTGCACATCAAACAATAATGAGTCTTCATGTGGTTTTGGCTTCTGTTTATGATTATATTTATGGGATGCTTTCTTCTACTAGACTATCTAATTGGCTTTAATTAACACTTTCGCTTCTTATAATCATACTGAGTCTGTATTTAAGTATATTTTTGAATAATTCAAGGGATAATGTATGCAGGACTTGAAGGCAATCTAACAAAGTATAATCTGTCTTAATATTGTCTTCATTCATGAACTTAATCCAACTGCTTTATGCCTTAAAACTTATTCTTTCCAGGTATGGCTCATCGAGCAGATGACATTCCAGATGTTGGGTCAGATTTGGATCTAGTGAATATTACTCTTGGACGCAGATTGTCTACTTTAGAAGATTATAACCTCCAGTCAGAATTATCAAAAAATACATACAGAACATTTGCCGATGGAGTTGAGTATGCAGAGCAGGTAATTTTGCAGTTAAATTTTTTGACGAGGAGTGCTTTTAGGCTAACTGCATAATATTCAGTTCTAACCTAATACAAGATTTTGTCAGTCGATTAAGCTTAATCCCAAAGGCTTAAGTAATCGCGTACAGGATATACCTTTCAGCTGTCCCATATAAGACTGTTTTCCGCAAGTGGTATAAATATGCTTAAGATGAAAAATACTGACTGACTAAAAGTGCTATAAGAATAAAACTCGTGCACTGTGGTAGAGTGTAATTCCATTATGAGTAAATTTTATTTTGATAAAGTCTCACAGTGTTATACAGTAATGTTTACTGATGACGTTTCGAGCACAATTTATTGCTCATAATCATATCAAGGTAATCACACGACTTCCTAAATTCGTTTATATACTTCCATTGTTTTTCACTTGATTTGATTGGTAGTAATATTTTCCATATTTCGGGTATGAGTGATGAATCACTCACTGGGTGAGTCAAAATGGTTTAGTTTAATGCCTAAAACTAATAATGCTAGTAGAATGTATGGTACTATTAAAATACACAAACCAGGGTACCCCATACGGCCAGTAGTAGATTTTAGGAATACTCCTACTTATGAATTATTAAAACATTTAGCTCTAATATTATGCCCCATTAGAAGTCGCTCAAACTCTAGACTATCTAATTCATTTGAGATGAAAAATAAACTAAATGACATTCAACTAGATAATGATGAAACAATGGTTAGTTTTGATATAACCAGTCTTTATACTAACATACCAATCAATATGGCCTTAGAAGCAATTAAAAAAAAATTACCTGCAGACCCTGAACTCACTTATAGGACGAAACTACCCATTGATGAAATTATTTTAGGAATTCAGTTGTGCCTCACATCTACTATCTTTGAATTCCAAGGCAAAATATATAGACAAACTGAAGGTGTAGCAATGGGATCACCAATATCCCCTATCGTGGCAGATATATTTATGGATAGCTGGGAAAATATGGCACTTAATACATTTAATCCTACTCCAAAAATATGGTGGAGATATGTGGATGACACTTTCACAGTGTTAAAAACAGAACATATCTCTAGCTTCTGGACACACATAAACTCACTAGTGGAGGGAATAAAATTCACATTTGAAACCGAAAATGAGCAAGGAGAATTAGCTATGTTAGATTGTAAAATAAAACGAATAGAAGAAGGCAAACTACACACTAGTGTTTATAGAAAACCAACGCATTCTAATAGATATTTAGATTTTAATTCATCTCATCCTTTAACTGTTAAGGCAGGCTTAGTTAAGTGTTTAACAAACCGAGCAATGGCACTAAGTAGCACAAAAAAAGACCTAAATGATGAAATAAAACAGATAGAAGAGGCGTTGGTTTTAAATAACTATCCTCTAAAATTCATTAGGAAGATTGAAAAACGCCAAAAGAAAAATAAAAAGAATTGTGAAACTAGTAATAATAACATAAATAAGAGAGAATATAAGTCATCTACAGTTATACCATATAAAGAGGGGACATCTGAGACCCTACGTAGGATTCTAAATAAAGCAGGAATTAGAGTGGCATTTAAACCTACAAACTCACTCAGGGACAAGCTCTGTAGGTTAAAGGACCCAGTTGACCCAACTAGACAAAATAATATAATTTACAAAATACCCTGCAATGACTGTGAGGTCAACTACATAGGTCAAACTAGTAGGTCAAGGGTAGTCAGATTGTCAGAACATAAGAATTTAGCTAAGGTAAGAATGGTTGACCCAGAGAAGATAAGTAATTTAGAAAAAAGCTCGGCAATTGCAATGCATGCATTAACACACAACCACACAATAGGGTGGGAGAGGGTTAAAATTCTAAAAAGTAATCTAGGTAGGTGGAGGGAGGTTGATTACTGAATCCTTGTTCATCGAATCTACACCCAACACATGCAATAGGAATGAATCATCACTCATACCTGAAATATGGAAAATATTACTACCAATCAAATCAAGTGAAAAACAATGGAACTATATAAATGAATTTAGGAAGTCGTGTGATTACCTTGATATGATTATGAGCAATAAATTGTGCTCGAAACGTCATCAGTAAATATTACTGTATAACACTGTGAGACTTTATCAAAATAAAATTTACCCATAATGGTATTAATATGCTTGTGTTATTGTGGTGCTTTTAACTGATCATTTGTTCGGTAAGGAATAGACTGGACTGATGCTAACTGATCTATATATTGCACTGATTGATGGTTTAGCCGAGTGATCATTTTTCACGGAGAAACTTTGTCGTTTGCATAAACTCCTGTAGAATTGATTCAAAATTTACTTCGATCTAATCTTGATCTTCTAGCAGTGATCCATTATTCATTACAATTTATAAATACTAGACAGAATTACATAACAGTTTATCATTCAGCGAATGGCTTTCGCAGTCTAATCTCAAAACATTCGCACACACACACACTGATTTTAGAAAATTGGGTTGCGAATTTTGATTCCATTTATTCAACAAATTTTACTGAAGAAAGGATTCTTGTACAATTAAAAAACATATTAACTTTCATGATTAAAATATGCATTCTGGTTCAGATGAAGACCAAGAATTCTTTACATAAATGCCTTCATTTTATTCAAGAGGAGAGATATCTTGGGAAACATGATAAATCTCCCCTTATCTTATCGAGAATTGACAAGTTCTTCAATAATTGTAATCCTGTAGTTCAACGGTAAGCTTTTGAATTCTTAAATTGCAAGACCCTTTAAAATTATAAATCGACTCTGAATTATCATTGATGAGATTAAAGTGCAGATTTTGATATTAAAATCCAGTTATCTTCAATGAGAAGTACATTCAAAAAGCCCTTATTTTAAATGGTGTTTTTGTGTTTTTCTTCTCAAGATATATAAAATTTTAGCCGCTAGACATCGTACCGCACACTTCCCTCTGTTTGTCGCAGTTCATCGAATATGCCAAAAGGAGTTGCAACCACAGGATTTTATTCATTGTTTCCAATCTCATCCAATTCACCTATAGCTTTATCATTTCTGGTACTTATTAGTAAGAGTAACAGTACTTTAGCAACCAAGTTTGTTCGTTTGTTCACTTCTGTAATTGTTTCACAATTTTTATTGTTGATAAAATCCTGTGCTGTTTCGTTGTTTAGATTTCTGTTCATAGTTTACTTTCTATTTTTGAGTGTTTCTAGAGTATGGATTTGTGAACAATTTCCAAATAATCTCAGGGAATATATATATATATATATATAATGTTTGCAAATAAATGTGAAGAACAGATGGAAACCATTCCTAGTTACTTGTTTTTTCGTTAAGTTCACATTCATTGCACAAAATATCTAGCCTTTTGTTTGTATTCATTTGAAGTGTTAGAGTATTTCAGATTAATAATAAATACTGCTGTGATGTGTTTGTATTTTTATTTGGTTTGTAGTAGTTATAGTTGGGGTGGCCTATTTACGTTGCTATCGCAGATCACTTTTAAACTTGTCTGTTGTGTCATGATTTCTAGTACGGTCAACATATCTTTATTCATAGTGAATGAGAATTTAGTTAACATTTTCTTCCGATTACAGCAAGCTTCAGTGGTGTTTCAAACTATAGACTAATACAGAGATAAGGCTTTCATATTCCCATAAGATAAGGTTTTTGAAGGAAACGTTTGTATTCTACATGGAATTGTAGAGGGGTGTCGATATTTGTGCATCTTCTCATTCATGGGTAGGCAATTCAAAGTTAAATAAAAGTTTTATCTGAGAAGTCAATAAGTTTGTTATTTCACTGTGACCTTCATGGTCTATTCTTGAGCAATTGAGATTTGTGGTTGTAGACGGAAGAATAGTAAACAACAGGTTTTTATCAATACTTTTGTATTACCAAGTGAGGGCAATTGGTAGGTTGAAGGGATATCAATCAGTAGTGCATACTTTAAAAGTCCTATGCTTACATTATTCTTCAAAATAATTAGAAATAAAGTGTAATTGCATTTTGTTCAGCTTATTTGCAAACATCAAGACCACAGATTTACAAGTGGCGAATGTTTATGGAAATCAGTAAGCTGGTTGCGGAATGCTTTAAGGTGAACTGTGTTAAATATAGAACAGCTTAACTGAAGGTTAAAATACCAGTGAAGTAAAACTGATACCTCGCCTTCATGTCTAAAGCATTCAGTGGCAAGTTTAATGTGAAAGTTAGAGTTTTGAAGTAGTTTAGCCTGAAGCCCTTGCCTAAGATTTGTTTGCATTTGGTAGATTAGAAGTGAAAATAATAATAAAACAATTATCCCAAACTAGGATGAAACAGCTATTCAGTACTCCCTGGTTGGTTTTCAATGGTTCTCTAATTGATAACAATCCGTGATCAACTCGTAAAAACAAATCTAATCCTTACAAACCAACTATCGACAGTTATCAGATTTTCAAAAGAATGGATACAGAACAAAGAGTACTTTTTCGATAAATTCATCATCAGGTTCTACAATTATATATACATTATGGTGAATGAATGAATTAGTGTCATGAACGACATTAATGTTTAAATAACATCGAATCAGTAATATTGATAGATTACAGCTGAATAGCATCAACATAAAAAAAGCTGAATGTCAGAAGAATTAGGAAAGATAATATTACAAATTCATGAGTTTATAGTTTCTACTGAGGGCCAGGGCAGTAGTAGGGACTGGACTTGTTTCTTTTGAACACAGAGCACTGGTTGTTTGAGGTGAATTGCAATAGCCTCTACTGTTTGGAGCATGCGGTGCTTCGATGATTTTAATGGGCATTTTTAATCAGTTATCAGATTAGTCATAAATTAACGACAATAAATAGAATTATATAGTTGCACGAAAATCTAGGTTTACTAAATTAACGATAAAGTGAGGTATTGGTAAAATAATAAGACGAGAATAACATGATTTATTTATTAAATTCCATGTGTGTTTGATGAGTCATAGTGATTGAATGAAGATCAATGATTTCGTTTCACAAAAATTAGGCGCTGAGTGAAAAGTTTACAGTTGATATAAGAAGTATTGTAACTTGAAATTCATATGGTTAATGTCAAAACTGCTTGTCCAGAGTTTGAATTCTTTTTCAAATATGCGTATTCTATGCAAAAGAGACAATGTTAAAACGAAACCTATGAATTACACTGTTGTTAGCAAAATAATCGGCTCTTTTATTATATCCTATCTCAATTAACTGACAATCTTATTATTATTAATTACAATTTTTTCGCATAAAAATATGACTTCACTGTCACTACAAATACCAAATAAGAACTGGCATTAACAATCCTGTAATATCATTTTAGTAATTGTTTTTAATGTAATTCGATGCAATATTGTGCAATATCGATAGTACTACTTTGGAATAAAGCAAATTATTATAATTATTATATTATCCGCCATTCATTGTCCATTGTAAATATTGCTTTATTTGATTGTGAATGTGTTAAATTATAGGCACCGTGAACTAGTGTAAGACAATATCTATGTCTCAAGATATGTTGCTGAAATAAAAAGTTGTATGAGCGATATTAGTTTCGCGTTTACGAATGTTTCGAATAAACTTATTGCCTCATATATTACAAATAAATAAAGAAGTGAATGCACTTGTCCTTCGGCGTTAAACATAATTATAAAGTCTCTAAGATCTTGTCTGTTTCCACCATTGTCTGTAAAGAGAAGAAACATGTATGCTCAAATCTACTGTTTAATTATAGGAACACCAGTTCATTAGTGGTCAAACTTTTCATGCGTTTATTGGGGATAAGCGTAATAAGGTGTGCTCTGTCTTCTCAAGAATATGGTTTAAGAACTGAGATGACATGTTTCTTATAGTTAAGTGCAGGGGTTGAAACTACCTTGCGATCATATTCGTAATTTGTAAATTGCATAGTTCGATGAGGAATTTCACCAGTTTCTTTTAGACGAGGAATGTATTCAGATCACGATATGTGATATGTTTGATACCATAAACAGGAATCAAGGAACTCAGTGTACATGTATGAGGCCAGGTACTAGTGGTTGACTAATAAGAGTAGTTGTGTACCATTCACATCACTTCGATCTGGTTAGCGAGAGTTACGGGTTGATGTTAGTGGTATGCAGCTACTCATATAAATCACTGAGTAGTATGTAGAATTAAACGAGGTTTTCTAAACACCTAGTCTAGTTTACGGTACAGTGGTATACTAGTCGGTACTAAGCCCTGAAAAGTCGGATAGGTTTGACATAGGGCTAGCGACACTATGTTGGAAAACTAATCTAACCGCTTTGGAAACTTTGAAACACAGAGACAATATAAAAACTAAACTTAAGCAAATTAAAAGTCCTCATGGCGTAATCAGAACAGGATGATTTTCAGAGAACAATTGTCTCTGATAAATTAAGCATGATACGGTGAGTGAGAAAAAGCTTTATTCAAGACTACAGTTCAAAGATGAAATGTGCAGTGATATATTAAGCCATAGGTTGATCAGATTATTTGAAAGAACTTTCAATGCTGCAGAACTGCGCATCAGCACTGTTACTGACACCGTGCACCAAAGATAAATTACCGGAAATGGCCACATCAATGTGTGCATACAAGTTCAACTGCTCATGTGGAGTTAGTTATATAGGTCGAACTTGGAGGAATTTATCTTTACGCGTTCATGAATATGTTCCTGTTTGTCTTGGAAAAAGTGTAATCAAAGCTATACAAAGTGTCATTTTGTCTCATCTGGTAGATAGTGAACGCCACAACAAAATAGATGAGTCATTTACGGTTGTATATCGATTACTAAATAATCCGCCTAAATGCACACAATTACGCCTGAGCTATAACCGGAGCGATAGAGATTAATAAGAAAATACCTGACCTATGTGTGCAAAAGAAGCACTTCCGTCGACTTCGTTTACCCTGGCCTACTATAAGGTCAGTAGGGACATGATCATCCATATTTCCATGTCTTATTATGCCTTTCTTATTCCTTTTCACCTAGTTCACTTTACTCCATTAGTACCTTTATTATGTATCAGCCTTTTGTAATTTACACTAAGCTTATTATGTCTCTAGTATTTTATCACGGTTCACAATCTAGCCTCTTTGTTTTATCAACCCTTGCTTCAACTTACATTCAGTGTTCCCTATTTTCTAACATTTGTTTGTATAAATTGTGTGGTAATCATTTTCCTCGCACACCATTAATTATAAGCAACATCACTGAGGAAACCTGTGATGATGAACTCTGGAACTGCTTGAAAGTGATTTTGAAGGGAAGCCGTATAGTGAAGAAGGTTGGAAAAGGTAGATAAGGAATGACTCACTACACACGCCTGGGAGCTGATAGAGAAAAGAAGGATGGTGACACGGAAGATGAACCAGTGCTGAGATTAACGAGCAAAGGAGAAGATGGGTTCAATGTACTACGCACCGAACAAAGGGGTGAGAACGAGTTCCAGGAGAGACAAATGAAAATTTCGCGAGAAACTGGTAACTTTAGCAGAACATGACGCAGGTATGGGGGACGTAAGAAAATTTTACCAGATAACTAGGTTGTTGTCCAGGAGGAGATCATTTTGGATGGAACCAGTGAAAGATAGTGAAGGGAAGAAAATAACAAGGAGAAGAAGTAGAGGAAACTATGAGCTGTTCACTTTGAAATATTCGGAAACTGACCAGCACATAAATCTAGTACTGAAATACCGTCAACAGCAGCAGAATTGCCAGTGGAAACCTGTCCTGTGAAAAAAGCTGGAGTGATGAATGTTATAAAGCAGCAGGGCCAAACCAATTTCCCCCAGAAAGCAATAAAATGCACCCAGAGACCTCGTGGTATATGCTAAAGCCACTATTACAGAAAGTTTCCAAGGTAGGAAATGTTCCTGCCGATGGTAATAAAGGCCAACTTGTCAAACTTCCGAAGAAGAGCAGCTAAAGCCTTTGCGGGAACTGGCACTCCGCTCAAAGCAAATTATCAAGCCACATAATCCTAAGGAGACCAGATTATGGTCAAGATGCATAGATTCGTGAAGAAAAAGCTGGATTCAGGAAAATCTAAGCGCTGCTTAACAGGGCATGAAATGGAAGTCCACCGTCTATCTCAGCTTCATAGACTTTGAAAAGGCCTTTGATAGTTTGGACCGTGAAATAATTTATAAACTGCTTCAACATTACGAAGTGCCACAAACTATTCAATAGTTATACGATGATCGCACATGCCTAGTGATTTACAACAGAAAAACCGGTGGGGTGACTTTAGTGAA